TTATGATATCACGGTAAATTTTCATTAATTCAGAATTAATGTCTATTTTATATGGCGCATTGCGACTGTAATCGTAGATTCCTGGGTTCTCGATGTTTGATGAAAGAGGTGGGGGGTATGTTGGATAAGTGGGAATTTCAACAGGTTCTTTACCAGGTTCAGATAAAATGATTGGGTCTCCATTCTCATGGTTTTCTTCATTCTCCTCATTCTTCGGTAAGTCACGAGTTAATAAATTTGGTTGAGTTGCTGACCTTGTTAATTCAGGACTAACATTAACTTTAACATTTTGAATAATTCGTGATTTATCATCATTTACGTTATAACCAACCGTAATCTCTGCTTTTGCGTTAGTGTTCTTTTGACTAGTGAAACGTCTTCTCATTTATATTCGAATAAAAAAATATATTTAAACTTTTATTTTGCTGGAACTTTTGAATCTATTATTTCCTGTATTTGTTCATGAAGTTGATTTTTAGCATTTTCATCGAAATTAATAGACCGAATATATTCATTAATTGCATTCTTATAATCATCTGATTTCTCAAATTTTCTTTTATCTGATTCCTTAACTAAATCATAAGTTAAACCTCGTTGCTGATATAATGGTTTCTTAATTAAATCTTTGAATGCTTGAGATAAAGCACCTGATGCAATTCTTGCTACTATAATTGGTTGGAATTGCTGTTTAAGTTCATCTTTAACATTTGCGAAAACTGGATCGAATAAAGCAACTTTAAAGAATTTCTTAGCTGGAATTTCAGGTCTTAAATTTGCATATTGACCATCAAACTGGTTAGAATATCGTGGTAATCCATCCGGTCCCTCTTCAATAGCATTTAATTCTTCATTGAAGTAAGAATATGGATTATGACGGTATGAATTAATTGGACCATTTTCACCTTCTCCAATGTATTGTTTAACAGCTTTTCCATTTTCATCAAATTGCATAGGATAATGTTCATTATATGCTTTACGTTTAGGATAATCCGTCATTGTTAATTTATACCCATTTATGACTTTAATATTTCCTTGACCATCAGTAACGAAAACTTCATTTATTCCATCAGGTTTTCCATTTGGACCCGTAATGTCTGCTTCGTGTGCTTCCCAATTTGGTCCGTGACGTTTGGCATATGCTTGAGCTTCTGGTAATGTTAAAACGTTTCTCATTTGTTTAACATCCTTTTGAAGATCGGCAACAATGTGGACTAATTCTTTCATTCCGTCTGGAACTTTCATAGTTCTATTATATGCACCCTTTTTGTTTGTCCCTTGTTTTAATGGAACCTGTAGAAGATTTGCAATTTCTGTCATGTTTTAATTATAAATAAAAAATAAAAATTAATTATAAAAGTTATTCGAATTTAATGGAACCTTTATTTAAATCAACTATTATTTTTCCATGTTCTCCTAATTGTTGATATTGTGTGTAAAGTTCATTAATGCTCATTGGTAAATTCACTTGATAAAGCATAACGTTCAACTGTTGACGACTAAAACCACTGAAAATGAAAAGGGTGGACAGGTTTGATTTAATGTTTGTGCTTAATGCTTTAAAGTATTGAACAGCCATGAAGAATGAACACTGAATGTGTCGACATTGAGTTAATAATTGATTAAAATATGATTTCTCATTAGTTATTAGTTTTGATTTCACCGCATCATCTAGAAAAATGAGTGAATGCAAAAATTCTCTATCAAAATTTGAAATAGAAAGTGTTTCAAATAATTCATCCCGTTGTTTATCAATAATTTTATCCTCTAATCCTTGCTTCTTGATTGTATTATATAATTCTTTATACATTACAAAGTTTTTTAAATAATCTTCTGCTTCTTCTTGTGATAAATAAATAATTGGAATTTTGATTAAATGCTTTAAAGATTCAAATGTATCATCTGAAGGTGAACCTGAACGGTTGATATAAATTAACACATGTGAATAGGGTGAAGTGTTAGCAATAATGATAATTTGTTTTAATATCGTTAATGTTTTACCTTTATTTTGTTTACCAATTGCTGCAGTGATTGAATTTAAGTAACATTCAGAATATGGAATTTTCATTAATTTTTCCTTAGATAGAGCATTTCTATTATCACTCAATGCTTCATTAATCATATCATCTACGTATGTATTATATACTCCTGCTAATTCTTCATAAGGGGTGGATGAATTTAAATCCATTTAATCAAAAATAAATTTATAATTTTAAACATTTCTATTCATCAATATTTCATCATATGAACTTCTATACTGCGGTGGTGTACCTGTTGGATGATATTTCAAACCTTCATCCGGTGTCCATGTCCAATATGTAGTCCTAGTAAACCAAACCTGAGGAGGATTTGTCACTTTTGAACAGTAAGTGTCATTTTCACCCTGAATGATTGGATAAGCTTTCACTTGTACTGTAACTTGTGAGTTGAAAGTTTCTAATCCATCAAAGAATATACCCGCTCCATCACGTTGAACTGGAATAGTGCATAAGAATGAAGTTTGGTCTTTCCATGTTCTAGCTAATGGTGTGCCATCATCATCATTCAGTGGTCTAGTTAATGAGTCCTCGTATTCTTCTGTGCATTCATTCACTCCATCTAAATCAGAAGCTTGAAGCATACGTGTAAAGAATATGTCACCCACTGTGGTCATCGCTTGATCGGGGAAGTTTCTGGAATCTATAGTGACCTGAAGACCTCGAAGCATTGGATTTTCTAAAACCGTTCTTTGCATTGCATTCTTCGGAAATGTTAACACAACATCTGTAACATTATGAAGAGCGTATGAGAAATCTGAGCTAATACCTTCAGGAGTGATGCAACCTCCATTTAGTGAACGAACGTCAATATGTTGAGCTGGAATCATGAATGGATCTTCCTTACTAAATAAACGTGGTATTGCTTTAACTGATTCTTCAATTAAACCGTATCCTGGTGTAATGCATTTATCCTCTAAAACTTCCATCTTTGTGCATGAAATAATAACGTCTTCAACTGTTGCGTCAGCAGATGTAGTGGCTAAGCTTGTAATTAATTTGGCAGGAAGTCCGATTTGTTGGAATTTGCGATCATATTTATAAACATGATTCATAATCTTTTCATAATTTTCATCAGTTATCTTTTCATAAACGTAATTTTGTAAATCAGCAACTCTTAACGGGTCAACCTGACAAAATACTAAAGTATCCCTGAAAACATAATATTTAAGAATGATTTCACCAAATGATTTAGGATAATCATCGAACGCCTGAAATGCTAACAAATCATTTACCGGAATAATCATATCAAAAGTGACATCAACTTCTTCATTTGCTCTCTTGAAAACTTCTGAAGGGTCAATATATTTACCACATACTGAGTTATCATATTTTTGAACATTATTATATAACGAATGAACAAACTTTTTAACTTTCCTTTCTGATTTTGGTTTATATGTTGCAAATGCGAAAGATTCACGGGCGCAATCCATCTGAAGATAACCGGCATCACCTCTTTCGGTTTCTACTTCTAATTGTTTAAAGCTTTGATTTGATGATTTGTAACCAACGAATAAACGCATACATTTAAAAGTGGCATCACATGTGAAAGCTTTATTTGAAACTAGAGTTGCTTTAACTTTGCGTTTAATATATGTGTCACCTAATTGGTTCACATCATGAGCTGGGTTTGTAATTCTTAAATGAGTTTGTTTATCATCAAAATATGGAGCATCAGAGTCATAGCATGAACTTTCAAGTTCTCTATAATATCTTCTACCGTCATTCTTTGCGAATATTTCATTTATCTTTTCGAATGAATGAAACACATTTCCATTAATCGGTTTAGTGTTTGGCACTAAATAGTTAGTCGTCATTTATTAATAAATAAAAAAATCAAAATTAAAAGATGGAAATGAATTTTTAATTTTAATGAAATAATCAACTATGGCTGCAGGTATATTTAAGAAACTGTGGGATAGAGTAAAAAGAGGGGCGAGTAAAGTTTGGGAAACATTGAAGAAGGGAGCAAATTGGATATTTAAGAATAAAGAAGCAATTAGTGACGTTGCTGAATCAATAGCACCTAATGTTCCGGTAAGGGAAGTATTAAATAAAGGAGATAAGGTTTATCGTCGACTACAACCGATACTAAGATAAAAATAATATTTATTTATTTTTCCACTATCTACCCCCTATTTTATTAAGTATTCCTTCAGCAATTCCACCAACTGCGTTACCTGCTTGTGCTCCCATCGCCGGATTACCTGCTTTAGCACCTAATACTCCTCCTATGATAGTTCCTGCCGTTTTCGCTACTGGTGCCAAAAAGTTTGCAACGGGTTTAATAATCTTTTGATGAACCCAACTTGCAGCTTTCTTAATTCCTTCCCATAATTTTTTAAAGAATCCTGCCGCCATCTCTGATTTAATATTAATTAAAAAATATATTTCATCACTTATATTCTAATTTTTTATTTAATGATAAATGAAACCGATTTTAAAAATAAATGAAACAGAGGAGGAAGAAATAAATGAAAGTGAAAATGTTCAACAAAAAATAAACGTTGTTAAACCAATTACTGAAATAAAAATTTTTTCATCTGTTGATGAATTTAATGACTATTATGCTAATAATAAAAAATTATTTGAAGAATTGACAACATGTAAATTGAATAAAATGTTTAAAGTTGAGGACAGAGTCCAAGACCCGGAGGGTCATGGATTCAAAATTTCAAAAATAAAAGGTGTTGTTAGTTTAAAATCTATTCCTCAATCAAGAATCACCTCATTAATGAAAATTGATGATTTAACAAAAAGAATAGAAATTATTGAAGAGCGAATAAATCAAATTATTGATTTCATAAATTCAAATAATCATTAGCTTATTTAAAGTTCATTGTTGATTCTGAGACATGAATTTTTAAAGTTTATTTTTCATTCATGAATGATAATTATATCTAATTTCTTTTACTCTCTCGTATATACTAGATTTAAAGAATTCAGAACTTTTACCATAATCTCCTAAATGTTTTCTAATCCCTAACGTGTGCCAGTTATTATATGAAACTGTATAAACTTTATCTTTATCTTTGCATCTTTCATCACTTCCAATATATTTATATCTCAGTTTTGATTTTGCATTTTCATAATCATTAACGTTTAATAATTCACAGTCTTCCTTTTTAAATAAATGTTTAAGATATTCAGGATTTAATACTCTACGTTTATATGCTCCTAACTTAGTTCTAAAGGTTTTTCTACAAAATTTAGGAATTCCATCCTCTTTAATGTCATCAATGATTTCCATTTCATTATTTTCAATTTCTTCTTCTCGTTTATGAGGTCTTTGATTATGACTCCATTGATTCCATGAAATTAAATATTCTTTATCATTATATTTATACCTCATTAGCTTATTTTGGCTTTCATATTCATTTAATAATTCACAATCTTCATTTTTAAATTGAAGTTTAACCCATTCAGGATTTAAACAATGTTTAATTAATCGCGGAATATCTGACATCATCTATATATAGATTCTTTTATAAAAGATAAAAAAATAAATTATTTTAAAATTAATGTTAATTTTTTAATGATTTATAAATAAATATATTTTAATGCATCGTCTATATATAGATGTAACAAAAAAAGTCACACAACCCGCACTCATCTACTACTCAATACTGATATCTCGATTCAGTAAAAATCTACTAATCTCAAATATCCATCAGAAAGGAGAGTCATTATCTTCATATAAAAATACAATATAGTATAAAAAAATCGAATTATTGAAGATTGATACATTTTTCGAAATATGAATTGTAAACTTTAATAAAGGTGAAAAGGAGATATTTTAACAAAGAATTAACTAATTCTATATCAGAATAATGAAAAATAATGAAAAAATATTTGGAAGAAAAGATATTAATGGTTGAAAACAGGATTGCTCAATATTATGAAGCTCAATCCACAGATCTGCAAATAATACAGTATGAAATATATTATTTATTACTGGGCCAGGAAAATGAGGTCTGTATTTAATATTATTTGTTCCAACACTATACCACCAATTTGGTTTTTCACCTGTGTAGTCAAGGCAGCCAGTTAGTCCGGAGGACATCAAACCAGTAAAATTATCCCAAGTATCACCTTTGACTCTGATATATTCGTGCTCACCATTCTCTAACAATGATATATTTTGCTTCCAAATTTGATAGGAATTTATTTGTTTATATTCTAATAATAATGTTATATATTTAAAATGTTCAAGAGTTGAAATATAGTCATATGAGCTAACTATGGAATATAAATGTTCATCTGAATTATTACATTGATTGGTCGAGAGAAAAAATTGGTTATTTGTTGAATTATGATGACTTAATAGAATCCAATTGGATCCATATGCAAACTTTGTCTTATGGAATCCTGTTGAATATATCCCATCTTTGGAATAATCAACACTATTGTTGTTCTGAACACTATTGCTTTTCTGAACATCAGTCAAATATTTGACAAAAAGAATTCAATGTATATCAGCAAAGTTGGTGTATTCGAATTTTATATTAAAAAATATGTTATTGTATTGGATGTGAGTGGAGATATTCCGTTATTACAATTGACAAACGAATTATTTTGAATCCATTCGTTTTGGAAGATAACAAATTACCATCAAGCAACTAAAAGACGATAACGCTCAAATAAACCTATAGTAAAAGGTAACCCAATAACATTTTAAAAGAGTTTACAATAAATTCTAAATGGATGCTATATCTTCATTGGGGAAATATATATATATTTAAATTTCATTATAATAATCAAAGAAATTTTACTGTTGGCATAATCCGGCGAAGTCCTTCATGAGTTCAGTCTCTTTATTGAGGGCAGCAGCCTTAACAGACCTCAACTTCGATTCCTGTCTTGCAATATCTTTATCCAAATCTTCAACTTTAGAATTCAAGTCATGCAAAGCAGTTTCAGTTGCATTTCTTTCCTGTTCTAAAGCCTTTTCCTGTTTCTTGCACTCTTCTGTCCATCTTGTGTATTCATTTTCCATGTTACCTAAATCTTCCTGAGAGAACTGGATGAGAGTATCAAGAGGCTGAGCAGATCTCGCGAGGTGTTGAAGCAAACCCTTCGCGAACTCTATTGACTGCTTGAATCTATCAGCGTCATAAGCATCTGCTGATCCAGCGCCTTGTTTTGTATTAACATTCTGGAACTCTTCCAATATCTTCTGAACGAGTTGGCCATTCTCTTGTCCACTTGTTGCAGGCTGTCCTGCAGCGGATTCTTCGACGAAGACATCATCTACGTCATCGTCAACATCTTCTTCTTTGATAATCGTTGTAACTTTAGATTCTGTAATAACAGGAACGTCATCTTTGACTTTCGGAGGAGCCTTTCTTGCTGTCATTGGACGAGCAGCAGGATTTGAATCATCCTCAATATCAACTTGGATGGCTGGAACAGCTGGAGTTTCTGGCTCTGGTTTTGGCTTCTCGCGCTTCTCTTTTCTTGGCTTTTCTTCTTTCGGTGGTTCCTCTTTCTTCTCTTCTGGCTTTTCTTCCTTCTTTGGTCTTTCTCTGCGCTCTTTCTTCTCTTCTTTTGGTAGTTCTTCAGCCTTTGGAGCTTCTTCCTTTGGCTTCTCTTCTTCCTTCTTCGGACGCTCCTTTCTTGGCTTTTCTTCCTTCGGTGGTTCCTCCTTCTTCTCTTCCTTTGGCTTTTCTTTCTTTGGAGAATGCTGTCTTTCTTCTTTCTTTTCTTCCTTCTTCTCCTCCTTCTTTTCTTCCTTGGCTGGAGCGGTCTTTTCTGCTTCAAATTTCTTCATAGCGCGCTTGGCTGCTGTATCGAAATCCATCTTCGGATTTTCAGAGCCTTTGATGACTGCTTGTAGTAACATGAGTGTATTTTCTACTTCTTGGCCAGCGGCAATTTTAGCTGTATCAACTTTGACATGAGCCTTATTAACGTATTCTGTATATAAATGGAGCATTTTGAGGAAATCTAATTTTTCTTCTTTTGTGCCGATTGTCTTTCCTTCGAGTTGTCCTTCTGTGAAATATCCTGTTCCGAATTTAGTCTTTTGATTGACAGCTTTGATTAATGATGCAATGAACTTGATTGGTGGACGTAGGAAGTATTCGAAGTTGCTTATCTGATCAGAATATCCTTCCCACATCTTTTTTGTTTCTAAATATACTTTGTTATCTTTAGGAAGAGTCATTGAATTAAAATTTACACGTTTATTTATAAGTTTACATTAATCGTCGTATGTCTATCATTTTTGCTAATAATATTAACCTGCAATGCAAAATAGATAGATTGACACTAAAAGTTTTATTGGATTTTGATAACAAAAATTATTGTCAAGAAATTCGTTTCAAACAAATTAGTCTAAGCCACTTTTTACATCCACCAGTATGACCCACAAAGATATACTTATTGATTCTGTCAGTCACTAGCTATAGAACGACCTTACCAATGTAAATCCAGAAAATATAGAAATCTTCAAGCAGCTCACATGACTCCATTAAAAGAGTTAGGCATATTTTTTATTTCTCATGGTTTATTGAGAATCAATTCTTATATGTTTTTTATCTGTTGGGATAAAGAGAATTTCATTGTTTCTGGAATAAATTTATATAACTTTTACCTCAAAACAATGTATTCGTAAGGCTGAGTCAATGAATAATTGCATTTTATGTGATTTGAGTTCGAAAGGCATACGCGAACTCTTCAAGATAATGATTAAAAGATGGATTGAAAATATGCTTATCTAGATTCTTCATCAGAGCGTCAAAATTTCTCATCTTACAGTAATTAGTTTATAAATCATATGAAATATTAGGTTATCTTTTAAAATCTAATCATGTGAAATATTCTATTCTACATATTTTTCTATCATAAAGAGATATACATATATAAGCATAAATAAAGTTCTAAAGTCAACGATTTGATTGAACTTCATTGAGTCAATATGTAGTTTGATATTGTTTTATGGGTAGAATGTAATTTTCTATGTAAAAGTATTACAGTAGCAATACAATATGCAGTCATCAATAATACAGTAAAAAGGTAACTAAACTCCTTTCGCCGATCCGATTTGCTCCATATTTAAAATATAGCTTGCATATGTAGAAGAAAAGCTAATTTTGAAGTACGCCCGAAATCCACCAACAGGATTTCGAGCTACTAAAAAGGTACTTTTAAATGTGATTTTTTTTATAAAAAATTAAATTTATTTTAAGATCAGACTAAAAACTAATTTTATGGAAAATCTATATCGACAAATTTATTACTTATTGGGTATATAGATTTTTTGATTATGGCGATTATGTCTGATATGCTTCCAATAAGCCAAAACACATTTCATACTGATTTCTATAAAAGGTATCTTTATTATAGAAGTGTAAGCTATATCTGTTTGTTTTTTTATTATAACAAATTCAAAATTCTCTTATAAGGACTAGATGAAATCTGTATTATTAAATCATTAGCTAAATGAAGGTTCAAATAGAAAGTAAATATCAATTTATATGATACTGAAACCAAAATAGTTCTTTTAATAAAAGATAACACGCTGAAAATTATTGAGTATTTGCAAATCTCAAAAATCTATTGGTGAATTTGGCTCAACTTTTAAAATTATAACATCCATATCAAATCAGAAAAGCAGACAAAAATTAAAGCCAAACCTATCGGCCAATTTTTTTTTGATATTTTGATTTTTGAGGTATACTTTTAAAAGTGGATTTAAAGCACTTATGAAAAAACATTAACTTCTGTCGTTATGATTATTGATTTAGACAATAATGATTTTAATCTTTGATTATCAAAACACTAAAGTCATCTTTTTAACATTTGCTTGGTAGCATTAACTCAAGTCTAAAGTACTATTTTATGTGGCACTCTTAGAATTTTTGTATTCATTGTACACGCTGAAATAGTACCATTAAAGTTATGGCGGACTTTCAAAAAATAGTTTGGTCACCTTTTACAGTAATAGAAACTAAGTAAAATATTCGTATTATTTATGAATTCAAGCTGGCAACTAGAAAGAGTATGGGCAAATAATGTCTTGCGGTCATTGCATGTTAAAGAAAAAAGTTATATCTTTGATGATTTGTCCAAGCATTGATTGTTTAGAAGTTATCCTCTTAGGATTTATCCATGTTGACTAAATAAGGTATGTTCTTGAAGAATGAAGGCATATACAAATGGCATAGTAATCACGATAAAATTAAATCAAGCAAATAAAATTGAAAGGATATAAAAATTGTGAGTATTCAAAAACTCAAACCAATCATAAATATGGGTGAAGAAATCCCTAAGGAGCTGTTAGATATGCATGAAAAGCGTCTTCATGAAATGCTTGAAATTGTTGAAAAGGGTGACTGGAAACTCTCTAAAGAGGAAACAAATATCAAATTCTACACTGGTACATATCCAGGAAGTTCATTCAACATGGTCAAGTCAGTCGTTACAATTTTGGGAAAGCACAAAAAGACTGTAGAACTACTTGATACAGTTAAAACAATCGATAAAAATACACCAAAAGAAGAAGCAAAGGGTGTTAAAGAAAGGTACGTATTTGGTGGTGCCGAAGGTGGTCCAAGATACTTATATATGTCTCTTCAATCAGGAAGCATGCTTGTTTCAGATCGTGATTTTCTTACATTGCGTAAGCGCTATGATCTTCCAGATAAGCAAGTTTGGCTCATTGCTTCCATCGATAACGATGATCTTAAGCCACCAACTAAGGATAATGTCCGTGGAAAAATGACTTTCCAAGCTTTCATCCTCGAACAAGATAAAGATGATGATGCTTATGACAGGCTGACATTTGTTGTTCATGCTGATCCTTGCGGCTCCATCCCAGCAATGGTTTATAATGCAGTTGCCACAAAGCAAGGCTATAATGTCCTTAGTATCAGAAATTCCGTCCTTAAGAAGGAATAAATTACATATTTCTTGCTATTCACATTATATAAACTATTTTTCTATATAACTGATTCAATTTTAGGTAACAAAGGTGTGTTAAGACCTTGATTGTAATTTAAAACATATCCTGTTCATATAAAGCATATGATAAAGTAACGGTGGGGATTGTTGCTCTTTGAAATTCAATATAATAACATATAAGTACTCGATATATTCTTTTCATTACAAATTAAATTGCATTATTCATTTTGTCTATGCCTAATATTATTGTTATAGCTAACACCTAATGAACACCAAAGAATTTGCAATGCATTTTTCTTCATTTTCCCTTAATATACTAGAATTTAATCTCTTTTTATTAAAATTTGTGATATATTACAGGTAAAGGCATTAAAATCAAGACCTCTGAAAATTTTTGTTGATTGAAATTTTTTTTATTTATTTACGATATAAAAAGAAAAAGTGACAGATTTTAATGAGTGATCTTTCTGACCAGGCAATGTACCAGATCCAAGAGTCATCTTCCACAGATGATGAACCAGTTAAAGAGCCAAGTTATCATGAACCACCGAAAACACTTAAACCATTTGCTATGCCAACAACTTCATACGATCAAGTTCCTGATCCACTTGATGTCGAACCAGATATCATTTTCCAGCACTTCAAATTCTATGAGTAATTCCGATTAATAATTAGCTTATTTACGAGAAAGATGAATCTGATTTCAAGTTCTCGAGCTCTATTCACCATGCTTCTTTTACATTCAATAAATATTTTATGTTTTACTTTAATTGTTTGTATTTTCAAAAATGATGAAGATCAATATTAGTATTCTAATGATTTTGTGACTTAAATATATGAATAATTCAATTTCTTATAGTCTTTTTTATCGATACGTCTGAAAATACAAACTTTTTACTGTATTTTTTGTAATTTATCCAATAAAATTATTCATGGATGAAAGATTGTGCAAATCTAGCAACATTCTAACAAATGACCTATAAAAAATGTAAAATCAAATTATCTAAATTCAATTTTTGTTGTCAACTTTCTATATTCTAAAACCTGAATACAACCTAAAAGTATTCGTTAAAATTTATAATGTTCTTGATAGTTCGGGACGTTATAATAAAAGATGTATTTCTTTGTTATGAAAATTGGATTAAAGAATGCAAAAATTGAATAAGTTATTATTGATTTATGATGAGATAATAGTAATGCTATGTTGCATTAAAAGGAAATTGTAATTCTATAAAAAAAAAATTAAATTTCAAAAACATGAAAATTTTAGTATTTAATTTTCTATTGGACGTCTCCATCTATCAATTTCATTATTGTCGAGCATCTTTCTGTAACAGCTTTCGCAGCAAGGATAACCATTCATGTTTACGTACTTGGAATCGGCGAGATTCTTGCTGCATTTCATGCACTTGAAGCAATCTCTGTGCCATTTAGCGCCACAAGCAATGATTGTTGGCTCATCTTTTGTATTTGTGCATCCTCTGCATTGTTTAATATATAATTCAGAGCATTTTCTGCATCTAAGCTTTCCGTGGTCGAGGACGGCAACACCGTTCTGAAGAGGTGTTCCGCAATCTGAACATTTGAATTCTTCTGGATGGTATTTGATTCCTTCGACTTGGCAGCATTCTCCTTCGATCGTTTTGTTGCAGCCAGCACATATCTTCTTTTGAATAAGTCCTAAGCACTTTATGCAATAAACCTTGTTATTAAACATAATTAAGCGTCTGTTCGCTGGCGTAGCTGCACATTGTTCGCATTGAATGCATAATGGATGGAAGAAATACTTTTTGCCTTTGTAAATAATAGTTTCGCGTTTATCGTTTGGTAAAATTGATTGTTTGCACGTATAGCACTCTGGTAATGTGTTTTTGAACTGTTGAAAACATTTCATGCAATATGGGAAAGCATAAAGGTTCATATATCTATCTTTGACTTGTGGATCACCGCAATGTGCACAAACAAAGCAGTTTGGATGGTAAGCGCGTGAAATAGCATGGACGACTACATCAGATTGTACGAATTCTCCACACCTTGCGCAACGTTCTTCAAATGCCTCGTTATAACAATTTTTATGAAAAATCATGTCGTCTTTTTCTTGAAGATCGGCCGGATTGATTTCCGTTTGGCAATAAATGCAAATCAAACAATGTGGATGGAATGATAAATTGATTGCTTTAATATTTGGAGGATTTGAATCGACCGGCTCATGGCAATAAGGGCATTCACCTGAAGGGATATCTTTATAGTGAGTAAGGTCCATTGATGCCTTTCCATGCTTTACATTTGCCTTCTGGGCGAAAAGTTTCTGTAAAATCTCTTCTTCCATTGTTTTTGATAAAAAAAAATTTTATATGAGTTTTCAATACACAATACAAAACTTGATATCAAAAATGATATATGTTAACTCAAAAACTTTGTGCGTAATTAAATTTTGATTGTTGTAACAAAATCAGTAGTATATATAGCGGGTTGTGTGACTTTTTTTGTAAACGTAAGAATTCATACGATATTGAACGATTTTGTATGATTTTTTTTGACATATGAAGTAAAAAATGTATGATTCTTACGGTTTTTATTCTTACGTTTTTGAATAAATCAAGATTTAAAAATATTCAAAAATGTAAGACATTTACACTCAGCCCATACATAATGTAATAAACACATTAAAAAAAATTAACATTAATTTTAAAATAATTTATTTTTTCATCTTTTATAAAAGAAGTTATATATAGATGATGTCAGATATTTAATGATAAATGAAACCGATTTTAAAAATAAAGATTGAGTTCAACATTGAACTTTAAGAAACTAATGATTATTTGAATTAAAAATAAACTTTAAAAATTCATATCTTACATTTCTGAATAATTTATTTTTATTTTGTATCAAATGAGCGTCAAAACTAACGACGTTAAAAATTTAGGATTCACAAACGTGAAAATAAAGGGTATATTAGAGGAGGTGGGTTATGAAGTTGATAAATATTATTTAAGAAATTGTAAAAAATTTGCCGAGTTTTTAAATGAATTTGGTTATGATGGAAAAATGAATAAAGATGATGTTATAAATTTCTTATATCCCGCATCTAAAAAAGAAAAAGAAAAACCTAAAGAACCTGATGTTTTCCCTGAATATTATGAAGAACGAATTAAAGATGATGAATATGATGAAATTGAAAGACTGGAAAAAATAAGAGATGAAATAGATGAAAAAATTAAGGAATTAAGAGAAGTTGAAAATGAAGTAGAGGATTTAATGAATATCCCAGCTTCAGAATCAGAAGTCCAGAAATCTCATGAAGAAAGATATAAAAATTATGTCTCAGAATCAACACAAAATTTATTAGATGGTGAAATAGACGAAACACTTTCGGAAGAAGGTATTAAATTTATTCGTAAACATAAGTTACAATTTATTGATAAAGAAAAATACCCCTGTATCTTACTTTCACCACCTTTAGATTCTGAGAAATTCAAAAAAGCTCTTAAAAACGTGACATATGCAACTAATACGATTAAGAAAGAAGATCATGATATTTACACAAATTATTATTTAAATAAATGCACAGGTGTTGATAAAGTTTTTGATTTATTAGATAAAATATCAAAAGAAACCATTGGAACCTATAAAATTTTGTGTGATTGTGGTTTCATTGTTGAAGATACCAATAATGTTTCATATGAAAGAACAGCACCGAAGGAAGATGAAGTTGAAAGGTCTATACCATTCGTTATTAAGAACATAAAAGATATGAAAACTTATAAGCATTATATTTATTCATTTATTTCAGAAAAAATGGAAGCAACCCATAAAACATCTTCTCATCATTTTATAGCTATTCATACATTCCTTTTCAAAGTTGTGAAATTAAATAAGACAGGAATTAGATTTAATGTATCAGGGTACGCATTCTTGAGTAAATTAAAATGTATTCGTCACGTCGCAGATGATAAAAATTTATGTGTTCTTAATTCATTTTACGGACTTTAATTTTTTTTTATTCTTACATAAATGAACAAAAACGGAACAGCTAAAATGAATGATAATCAAATTAGAGCAGAAGGTAGAAGGTTATTTAAACGTTTCTATAACATTCCTGATGGTGTTAATCCTAAAACTCGTAGAAGCTATTTAAATGAAGCAATAGATGCATATGAGGGGTTTGACATTTCATCAGAAAGTGAGAGATTAGCGAGAATGTTAAATGTTAATATTGATTTCTATTATTGTGATCCTCAACCAGAAGACGTGGACATAAATAAGGTAGACTTTCCATTAGTGGAATCAATAATGATAGATCCAGAATTTGAAACAGTAAATATTTTATTAACACAGAGTCCATGTGGAAAACTTCACGCTGACAGAATAACAGACGTTGAAGCACTCACCGGCTATAAAGTTTGTCCATATTGTAAAGAAGAAGTTTATTCTATCCGTGATGATCCAGAAAGGAAAAACCAAAGAAGATTTTTAAAGCATTGTGAGAAATGTAAAGAAAATAATGGGAGATTAATTCAAGACGTTCAATTGCAAAAGACCCAGCAACCATATGCACCACATATTACGAAACAGAAGATATATCAGTGGTTATTAGCTCATAATTTGCAGGAATATTATCAACCGACAAGATATTATATTACTTTTGACTTTGAAACATTAGAGACTAAAGAAGAATTACAACTTTCTGAGTGTGCAACTTTGAACGCTTACTTAAAACCATTCATGGTATCATCAATGGTTAAATTAAATGATAAAACATATACGAGGAATTTTTGCTTAACTTCAAGTGATTCTTTTATTTCTGATTGGATTGAGTTTTTATTTTCAACCTGTTCATTAGTTGTTGAATCAAATATGAGTCAATATGAAGAATTATTGAAGTCGCAAACATTAAATGAAAAACAGAAGGAAGCATTTAAAGAACTTCTAGATGAGGAATTCAATAAAGTGAATATCATAGGTTTTAATTCGGGAAAGTTTGATTTAAATTTAATTCTTCGTGATTTAAATACTGCAAAATGGAAGATAAAATCACTGCTGGGTTCTTCTTCTCAATTTAAGCAAGTCATAGTAAAGAAAACAAACGTTCCATATGAATTGAGATTTATTGACATCAGAAATTATATAGCGGGTGGGACATTAGACCAATTCACTCAAGATTTCGGAAACAATAAATCACGTGTTAAATCCTTTTTCCCTTATCAATTTATCACATGGGAGAATTATGAAGAAGAATTATATAAAGTGGAACCATTCACTCAAGATTCATTTTATTCAGCATTAACTCAAGAAACTATATCAGATAGTGATTATCAAATATATCTCAATGATGCTAAAAATTTTAAGAATAGATTAGAATATTTTATTCATTATTGCAATAAAGATGTTGAAATTATGATTGACCCAATTGATAAAATTATTGAAGAAACATTTGTTTATAAAATTGACATGCTTCATAATCTTTCTTTATCATCGAATGCTTCAATGATTCGTTACGCTTTAGCATATAAAGACTTTAATCCTAATGAAAAATATCCTGAGGAAGAGATAGAATCAAGTTTTGAATTAACAAAAAAGTATTGGAAATATAAAATTGATTCATATAAGAAACAAGATGAAAAGGCGAAAAGAGATACTAAAAATAATGTTTCAATGGATGATTTTCAATACTATCACGATTTAATCCTTTCATCTAAATGCAAAATGTGTGGTAAAGCGTTTACATATGCTAATAAACCAACATTGGATAGAATCGATAATGAAAAACCACATACTAAAGAAAATTGTCAGTTAATGTGTTGTTATTGCAATGTCGTAAAATCAAATAAAGATGAAGATGTTCAACGTTTAAAAATCAATTTAAGAAATTATGCATTAAAAAATAATTTACCAATGACTTTAGATTCAGTTGAAGCTTATCACATTCTCCGTAATGGAATTACTGGTGGTTTATCAAATGTTCAACATCGTGTTAATCTTAAAGGAATCACGCACATTAATAAACTTTCATATAGTCCAGAAACTAAAACTGTATCAAATGAGGACACCACCAACATCATGACTCATTTCGTTGGTGTTGATTTTAATTCATTATATCCTTCATCATTTTCATCTAATCCTCATGATTTCATTCAATATACTGACCATAAAATGTATATGCCGGGAAGATTGAATGGTGTTATCATTTGTGATACAGCAACAAAGAAAGCAAAAGCACTGGGAATTATTAGAAAGAAAAATACTTTATTCGTGGCTGAAGTAAAGGGTCACATTGATGAAAAATACATTAATGATTACATAAACTTTTTACCGATAATAAGAAACTTAGATATTATCACAGATGAAAAAACAATTGGCAGTTTTATGTATAATTACATGAAATCAAACAATCTACCAGTTGACCAGAAACAGAGAAAATTAACTCAGTTAGCATCAACACACAACCAATATCAACCATTTTCTTCTTATTATCTTTGGTATCTAATCGACAGATTTCATTTTATCATCGATGATATTCAATCAATTTTAACATTTACGAAAAACACTTGCTTTAATGAATTTGCGAACGAATTTATGAATGAAAGACAAAAGGCTGAATTAGAAGGAAATAAAGGAAAAAGTTTATTTTGCAAGATTTCGCTTAATGGATCATATGGTTACGATGCAATGAATACACAAAATTACGCAAAGACTAAAATAATGAATGCACAGAAGGCACGCGTTGCATGTATGTCAAATAAGTTTAAAAACATAAGAGAAATAGGAGAGGATACATATCAAATGATGCTCAAAGATAGATTTTATAGATGTGAAACATGTTTACAAGAGGCATTCTTCACTTTAGATAATGCTAAATACTGGTATTTGGTTTTCATTTATGATTTTATGTATAAATGTATGGATGTTAATCGTTTTCATTTCATTGAAGGTGATACTGATTCATCTTATTGGGCAATCGCTGGCGATCCAAATCTTCCTAACACTCAAGCATTTCAAGCAATTGTTACCGATAAACAATTTTATGATAAAAACATTTTCAAATTCGCACCATTTGATTTCTTCTGTTTTGATGAGAAATTTAAGCCTAAATTAAAGAATAAAGCTGAAGAAAAAGCACATGAGAAGAAGTTATTGGGTTTAGCAATTGAGAAACAAGGTGATAACATGGTTGCTTTATGTCCTAAATGTTATACATCATTCAACGGTTCAATTGATGGAAGTGATTTTAAAAAGATTGCACAAAAAATGAAAGGAGTTAGTTTACGACAAAATAAACAATTAACACCTAAAAATTATTTAGATATAATAAATGATAAAGTGATATTT